TACTTGTTGTGAAGCAATGGCAAACACGTTTTACAGTTATTTGTTGTGAAGTAATGGCAAACAAGTTTTACAGTTATTTGTTGTGAAGCAATGGCAAACAAGTTTTACCGTTATTTGTTGTGAAGCAATGGCAAACAAGTTTTACAGTTATTTGTTGTGAAGTAATGGCAAACAAGTTTTACAGTTACTTGTTGTGAAGTAATGGCAAACAAGTTTTACAGTTACTTGTTGTGAAGCAACGGCAAACACGTTTTACAGTTACTTGTTGTGAAGCAAAGGCAAACAAGTTTTACAGTTACTTGTTGTGAAGCAATGGCAAACAAGTTTTACAGTTATTTGTTGTGAAGTAATGGCAAACACGTTTTACAGTTATTTGTTGTGAAGTAATGGCAAACACGTTTTACGGTTATTTGTTGTGAAGTAATGACAAACACGTTTTACAGTTACGTGTTGTGAAGTAATGGCAAACAAGTTTTACAGTTATTTGTTGTGAAGTAATGGCAAACACGTTTTACAGTTATTTGTTGTGAAGTAATGGCAAACACGTTTTACGGTTATTTGTTGTGAAGTAATGACAAACACGTTTTACAGTTATTTGTTGTGAAGTAATGACAAATACGTTTTACGGTTATTTGTTGTGAAGCAATGGCAAACACGTTTTACAGTTATTTGTTGTGAAGTAATGACAAATACGTTTTACGGTTATTTGTTATGAAGTAATGGGAACATCAGTATACAGCAATCAGAACGATCAATATTATTTACCATTAGTCTGGAGCTCTGATCTCATCTGATAAGATCTCTATATGAAATTGACTTCAGTAAACACTGTATTATCGTTATCATAGTATGATTTGAATGGCATTCACTCGACGGTTTCTTAATGATTGTCGCGAGTGGCCTCGATTAGATTTGTCAACTTGGCATCCTTTACAGACAGTCAATGAAAGCTAAATATTTTATTCGGTATGTTGGATTTGTTGATTTTCTATCCTTTCACAGAGTACACTAATATGACATGTTATATATTTACATGCAATAAAAATAAAAAAAATCTGCACAAGACACACAATTCCAGTAATCAAAATTCTTGTCCAAAAGCTTCACAATACCGGAAGTAATAATTGTATAGTAGTGGACTCATCAACAAGCAGGACCATGAGGTGGTTCGAAAAGAATAAGCATGGCCTTCTTCAAAATCATGGTCAAAATCGTATGATACAACCAGCTACAACACTCTTCAAAAAAGGTTTGAAATTGTCTTATGGGATTAGAAGCTTTCCTAAATGTCTGTCAGCGTTGATATTTAAAATTTTTGTGACATTGTCAATCTTGTGACTGTATGTTTAATAACGTTATTTTTTGTTTCATTTTCAACCTTTTTGAGTTGTCACAGAATGTCAAAAGGAATAAAAACAAAATTGACAGGACCATCAAAATTAAAGAAGCATGTCGAGAATGATTATTTCTCTTGGAAATGAGATTACTCACGAAGCATCAACGTCGAGTCAAATATGAATAGGAATTCCGCTAAAAATACAATGTGTAGAGATATAATATTTAACTTTTTGTAGAGAAAATGTTGCCATTGTGCTATAGTTCGTTGCTTTACTTCAAGTGCTATTAGTAGAGAAAACACTGTTTCTTTTAAATGTTGCGTTTGATGCTTAAATGTATTATACAAATACAAACACCAGCATTAAGTTAAGGGAGAGGGGGTGGGTAGAGCAGGGGCCACGGAATCTCCCAGGAATTCCACAGACCACTTCTTCGAAATGATAAAAACATAGAAAAACATGGACAAACCCCTTCTCTGGGGGTGACCTCCACCCTCCAGCCCCCATCCCTTTCACAACCTGCCTAAAACCCTTCCCCTGTAAAATAGCTACTGACTTCATTCACTCCTGGGAGGTTATTGAACACCAGATGACCACAATCACAGGTTGTCATCTCCAGCATGATAATCAATAAAGGTTCAATTTGTACTATCTGGGTCTCGAGGCAACCATTAAGTAGGTTTACAAGTCTTCATAATAAGATAACATTTACTGGACAATTTTTATACTTTACTCTCTCCCTTCCGGCAACTTCCTCGTCGTGATGTGATACAAACTTCTAGGTTAAATTAGAAAATGATCATGGCTATATTAGTCTACTACTGGCACAAAAAACTATGAAAAGGCACGATGTATTCTCCAAAATAAAACCTCGAGTAGTTCATCAGTAAGAAATGCTGAAGTACTGGAAAGGCATAATTTATGTATATATGTTTAATAACTGCTTAGTAAAATATACTCGTTTCATTGGTTTGAATAAAAGACAATAGTTTATGGTTTTGATTTTAACTTCATCGATACTGTATTAAATTCAATGTACAATGTATGACGTTGTATTATATATATAATATGTTGTCTTCTTTCCCCACCAACAATCGACTATATCGTTCTCATCATCATCGCTTTACGCTACTGTATTGTCCATTCTAGCTTAAAATCGAGACAAATTACATTCTGGGCTTTGTTATATTTCTCAAGACAAGCAGAGAAAGTTAGATGTGATAATACTTCATGCACAAAATAAGCATGAAGCGACCATTAGTCCATTAGAGCTGTCGAGATTCATATTTTGATCACCCTTAAACCATTTCAATTTCTCAAGACAAGCAGACAAATTTCGATACATACTCCTTGATAAAAATATAATGATAAAATTATTATAAAACCACTATTCGTCGATTCATACAAAATTAAGTAATTACTATCAAGTCCTACCCATTAATCAAATCAAAATCTATTGGCACTTGCAATGGAGCACATATATTTTCGAATGGGCATCATAAAAGGCCTCGAATGTTTTATGCGTTTGTTTAAAGACATATTTGTGTAAATTGTGTTATCACAGCAAAGTGTTGGGAAGTTAAAGGAATTTGTTTTCAGTTGTAGAATAAGGCGCCTTTTTCTTCTTCTTCTGAAAAGTGCAATCCTCTTCAGTAGCTCTTTATAGTTACATCAAAGCCTATCAGATCGTAATAATGTCTTCTATCTCACAGAGTTAAAACTTGAGACATTTAAAAAAATCTATATTCATATTCTTGAAGGCAAAATTTCAATTCGTTTTACGCTGAATGTGTCGAGAAATAGACGTCATAACAGTCCTCTTCTCTGACTTTATAACAACATCAAAGACAAACCGATTCTAATAATGCCTACTTTCTCGTCAAGCTAAAACTTCGGAAATTTGACAAATCTATGTCCATATTGTTGAAGAGAAGGATTTCCTCTGATTGCTAGTTTCCCAGTCACTACTTCGGTATGTAAACTCGTCGAGCACTCTTGAAATATTTATTCTTTGTTCTAAGTCAATATTTTTTCAAGATTTTTAAGCGACGAATTAATTCTTAAGATGAACGTTGTAATCGATTTTCTATAAACGACTGGTAGAAAAAAATAATTTGAAATTCCATCGAATAGAGGCGTATTGTACTTTCTATTTTGTGTCCATTAACGTATAAATCTTACATCTCTTGTTAAAGACGAGGTGGTGGGTGGTTCGATTAATTAATTTAGAATCCGCAATATAATTAAAATGTTAATGCAGTCCTTCAAAAACCAAAAGGTCTGAGAATCTCGTCAGTTGGATATACAAAATTGAGAGAAATAATGTGTATGGCCTTGCAAATCTAATTAAAAAAGATTACAATTTCGTTTTTTTTCAAATATTATTTTCGTAATCTAACATGTTTTCGCCACAGTTAGAACTAATGACGTAATTGCTAGCCAATCAAAGCCTGTTATGTAGAACCCATTCCTTGATATCAATGACGAATTAGGGAATACCGTATGGTGTGGGATTGTTGAAACAGAACAAACCAGAAGAAACAAATCCTGTACGAATCGTGTCGGTTTAAACAATATTTTACTTATTGATTGTACAATATTATATTTTACATAAAATAAGTTATGCTAAGCCGAGGTTTATGTTAATCCGTCACCTTAATCGTGTCCGAACCCATACTTCCCGTCCTGTTTTCCCTTCTCTTTTCTACGGCATAGGGAATCCCACATCGTAGATTGTATCGATCACCACACCTCGTCTAATACCACTTTTATTTTGTAGTGGCCTAATAATTTTATTGTCATAGAGTCAGCTTTGATATTTTCCAAGATTAATGCCTCTGCTTCATCAAACAAAGAGTTTTAAATTTGCCTTTTAACTTCTCTAGGTTACTAACCCCTTTTTCGAAAATCAAAGAGATTTAGATTTTCACTAAACTTAACAATACATTTTCCGCTTTTAACTGTATTTGATTTATTAGTATGTAATCTTCTAAAGAAGGTAATGTGGATAAACTTGAAACTGGAAAGTATTTTAAATTCAATAATTCTATTATATTTGAACTCGTCAAGAAACCATATTTTCCAAGTTTTTTGTAAAATTGCCAAATTCTTGAAATTATTGATTCTCAAAACGTGTGTATTATTTGATAGAATCCTTATATTCATTTCATAACTAAATTGGAAAACTTAATTGATTTTAACTCAAAATAACAAATTTATTGGTAATTATTTTCTATGATAGGAAGTGTGTCTGGGATAACCTAACCTATGCTAACCTTCGTCAGTCTGAATGAAAGTGTATAACCATATTAAAGGCATATTTGCCATTTTTGGGTTCTGCTTAGGTCTTGAATAGTCTTCAGAAGTACTAGAAATGTACGACAATCTCATAATTCCTTCAAAAACACCTCAATCTAGAAATTTAACATTCTTTTTCTATTATAGGGTATAGTCTCAGGAAAGGGCGTTTTTAATAGTCATAGACTTTAAGTATTTTCATAAATCTTAAACGTAATATTCCTGTAATAATTTACATTATTCATAAGCAACTATTATATGACAGCTTTGACATCCATGAACAACTATCAAAAAAAGATTTGACATTCATAACAAACTACCATATGACAGTATTGAAATTCATAAAGCATCTATAGCATGAGAGCTTTATTTAACATCCATAAGCAACAATGATATGATAGCTTTAACATCCATAAGCAACAATGATATGATAGCTTTAACATCCATAAGCAACAATGATATGATAGCTTTAACATCCATAAGCAACAATGATATGATAGCTTTAACATCCATAAGCAGCAATGATATGATAGCTTTAACATTCATAAGCAGCAATGATATGATAGCTTTAACATTCATAAGCAGCAATGATATGATAGCTTTAACATTCATAAGCAGCAATGATATGATAGCTTTAACATCCATAAGCAGCAATAATATGATAGCTTTAACATTCTTAAGCAGCAATGATATGATAGCTTTAACATCCATAAGCAGCAATAATATGATAGCTTTAACATTCATAAGCAGCAATGATATGATAGCTTTAACATTCATAAGCAGCAATGATATGATAGCTTTAACATCCATAAGCAGCAATAATATGATAGCTTTAAATTCATAAGCAACAATGATCTGATAGCTTTAACATTCATAAGCAGCAATGATATGATAGCTTTAACATTCTTAAGCAGCAATGATATGATAGCTTTAACATTCATAAGCAGCAATGATATGATAGCTTTAACATTCATAAGCAGCAATGATATGATAGCTTTAACATTCATAAGCAGCAATGATATGATAGCTTTAACATTCATAAGCAGCAATGATATGATAGCTTTAACATCCATAAGCAGCAATGCTATGATAGCTTTAACATTCATAAGCAGCAATGGTATGATAGCTTTAACATTCTTAAGCAGCAATGATATGATAGCTTTAACATTCATAAGCAGCAATGTAGAATAGCTTTAACATTCATAAGCAGCAATGATATGATAGCTTTAACATTCTTAAGCAGCAATGATATGATAGCTTTAACATTCTTAAGCAGCAATGGTATGATAGCTTTAACATTCATAAGCAACAATGATATGATAGCATTAACATTCTTAAGCAGCAATGATATGATAGCTTTAACATTCTTAAGCAGCAATGATATGATAGCTTTAACATTCATAAGCAGCAATGATATGATAGCTTTAACATTCATAAGCAGCAATGATATGATAGCTTTAGCATTCATAAGCAACTGAATAACATAACTATTTCTAGATTTATTGAGCAATTCGCTAATTATATAAACATGCCTTTTTACACAGCATGCCAATTTGAAACACAGAAATACAATTAAAATAAACTAGTTATAAATCAATGAAAACAAACTGTCTAATTGACATGTCAGCTCCACCAACCACCCTAGAGAGAGATGTTTCTTCTTGTAATACTTAACTTTCTTTTGTAATGGTATGGGCGTTGCTTCACATTTGACTCTGATGTACTGCATTCGGCATGAAGAGACTTGTCATTACAGAGGTGTTTAATCCTCTGATTCTGTGAAAATGTCCGCCATCTGCACCAATTAACATTGCTTCACACATGACTTACATTATTGTAATGTATTTGGGTATTAAAGATTAACAACTGCAGTGTGAAATGGGGGAAACTGCCATTACAGAGGTGTCAATCTAATTATTATGTTCGTATACATTTTAATATTTTTGTACTAAAGTTCTGTGTAAAAGTCAAATCATAGAGATGCAAAAAATAAACCAAGTACAAACAACCCGAGCCGCAAAACGAAACCCGAAATCCAAACACCACATTTGCAGAACATTGGCCGCAGCTTATGAAATGTTCACATGAGGAAGTATATCAATTCGTTTCTCCTGTTGCAATTTAGAATAAATTACCACTGAGGTCACATTTCTTCGTTTAAAACTAATCAAAGATCTTCTACATATTGTTATCAGTGGTCAGAATTACAAATTAAATACGGTGGTTGTCCAGTGGGAAATAAAACCTGATATTGAAGTCTGAAACAGGTCAGGTGGAGAAGAAAGACCATTGTGGACAAAACAATGGTATTTCAGCATAAAGAGCTGGTGAGGAACGGAATACAATGGATGCTTGGGCCTTTGTTGTGGTGTTTATTAGCGTATATGTATGAACATTGAAAATAAATAAATTCGCCTACCAACTTCTCCCTTGTCAATTGTCGAAGGCTCTATAAAGCAATAAAGTTTCTAGTCCAAAATATGATCAAGCCATTGATTGACATTCCTTGTCTTTTGACATGAACATTTACGGCATTTATTTATGTGCAAGACAGTTTGTTCCATATCAGGTCGTAAGCGATGAAACAACACAAACTAAAACGGTAATGAAACGTAACAAGACTAATTTACACTCGGGAATAACTTGGCAGCATGTCTTGTTATTTTCTCGTGTTCAATTCTCTCTTGATGGAGTTACTACAAATACACATTATCAGCTTGACGAATTCTCTCTTGGGTACCGTCTTGATGAACGTAGTCACGGATTGGCATAAGATTCTCTTGTATTGAAATGACACGAAATAAATGGAGTTTTACGTTCTACTTTTCTGTATATCAGGGCCCCGTATTCTCGAAACTATCTTGGCGCTAGGAAGTCCTAGGTTTCTAGGATACCCTAGCGCGAAGGTCGTTTCGAGAATGCGTGACCAGATGCTCCTGAGTGTAAAGCTTTGCCCTGCTATCACTTAATTGCTTGCTTTAATTAGATGATCGTTAAGTATAGGGTACATGAAAAAGGCTGGAATTGAGGAGATACGGATACTGTGACCGGTGCGATGTACGTTGCGGAAGTATCTACACAGTAGTGAAACGAGAAAGGAAACCATAAACCCTAAAATAGTACTTCAAGGATTGTTGTTATTTTTTTTTCAAGTGGGCAGATCTAGACCAGATTCTGTCCGATGAATTAACTTCTTTTGACTGACTCAATTGACGTCCTGAATAACACCCGAGCGTGCCCTTTTTGAACTGTTAATGTCAGGATCAATGAACAATGTTCTTCTCTGGTCTTTATAATTACATGTATATATGAAAACGATCCTCTATAAATCAATATTTTTGAGCGGTCTGGTTGTCCTTCTGAATCATCTCCATTCATCATCCATTTGATTTGAATCCCGTTTTTAATCTGGTATGTACGAGTATCTATATGAAAACAATAACTGGTAAGAACAAAATAAATCCAATAAATTTAATACGAAGTACCAGAAATAAAGATTCTCTTGGGAAATTGTACACATTGTAACATTGTCTCTGACTCGACGGTTATTTCACGTCTTGTTATTGTCTCCACTGTAGTCGTTCTTAAACTTAATGTACTACCACAAGACAACAACACACAGATAAAAAAACTGCAAAGTATTCATATTTCAGTTCAGAAAATCAATGTCAGACCACAAGACAACAGCACCGCTTGAATTATTCCAGGATTATCTATGCTATTTTGGCAGCTGTGTCTACTAGAATAATGAATTATGGAAGTTGTTGTTTTAAAAATATTCGTGTATTTATCAGTATAGATTTGGAATGTTTTTTCTGCTCTTTCAGCTTACTGAATCGAAACTGATCGAAGAAGCTTAAAGTGATCGACAGAGACATTATTCCATTGTTCAGTTCAATAACTTTAAGATACGAATATATAATTCTGCACGCTACTCATCTATGTGCTCAGTTTTGCTCTTTAAAGATCCATTGAAAGACACATGATAAATGTGGGTGTCCCAGAAATCCGTTCCGAATAAAACGCTGAATGGTGTTGCCAATCGTAATAAGTAGGCTAATGTCTCTGTCCTGACAAATTTCTATTCATAGCTCAATGCAAAACGTTGCCTATCATTCATCGTGAGCCAAATAAGGAAGAGTTTGACGTAAAACTTCATTTATTTTCATTTCAAATATCAAATTGCACAAACGATAAGAAATGGCCTGAACGCTATAAACATTGTATATTACTGGTCTTAGAGATATCAATTAACCTTAGATGCTAGATATCGTGTACATACACCATTAAGACTGGAAAATTATCCTATATCTTTTTGTACATGACTTATTTGCGCTCCATTAAGATTTACAGTCATATCCATTAGCACCAAAACAGAACAATGCGTGCATTCTTCTCGTATATTATATTTGTTTCCGCTCAGACGATCAGGTAACATAGTCTAGCTTTATTTCAGTGAGCACTTTTCTTAATATGTTTTAATGAAAACTCAGAAAACGTCCATTAGTTCTCTATAACCTTGCAAAATGGAAAATGAAAGTTTTTTCCCCTTCTCTTCTGCACCTAATTGTGGTAATGCCGACAGACCATGCAGTGGGCGAGGAAGGTACTTTTGTGAATCCATGTTATGATGGTTGAAATCGGGAAAAGCCGGTTTCTCTGAAAACAAATCATACGGTGGTCAGAGAATTTTAACACTTAGAAAAAAGTTCAGAAAGCTTTGATAGCACACCTATTGTAGGATACGGGTCTGACTGGAAATGGAACAGTCTGTTTTTCAAAAGAAAAGTTATCTTTTAAGTATTTCCGTGAATAATTGTTCATGAAAAAAGCAATTTTGATGTATTGCCCTCTTTTCTTTACCATTTTCTCCGTCAAATTTTATACAATGTCTTTTGATTGCAGGTTTTAATGTCAAGAAAAAAACCGTTGAAAAGTACAAAAAGACATCGCAATTTATCAAACGTTTTGTTTGATGTAGTTTCAAATATTAAAAAAAAATTGTAAAGAATAATCTATCATTTGGAATATACATTAACGGGAATCATAAGAGCTTTGACAGTAAGGAACCATAATGAAAAGAAAAGAGTTTTGATATTAAGAAAATTGAATAGCTATTGTTACAAACATCTGTGGATTTAATGAGATTTGTTGCGATCAAGGACATTAGAAACAGGAGATAATAGATTGGTCGGTTAATGAATGCTAGAATAACGGCCTCATATCGATGATGTTTAGCTCTTTAGCGATATTTACTTTTTATTATTACCTATAATCCATGATACAAATACCAACGAATCCAAAATGCCAATTTGTTTAGGCATTTCTTTGCTTTCGGTTCAGTTTGTGAAAATGTAACTCTTTAAGCGATATTTATTAACTATTATTAAATAGAAAAGGTACAAAAAACTGTTTACTTCCGGTTGCATTTTAATACTTTCGCCTTTCTTGTCGAGATCTTTCATAGGATTTAATCGGATATTATTCACCAGTTTCACAATGTCCTCTGACTTGAACCATAAACCCACGATCAAAGACATCGTAAACCAATAAATTGGCATCATGAATACTAAATGAAGATTTATAACTTATGCCAATAAGTTGACAGTAAATCCGATTATTGTGTTATCTATTTGACAACTCCATTTCTTTAAAATGAATAATCGAGGACATCACATTATATTTTTTACTCTCCGTTTAAAGAGTTGTCTATCTATGGTCATAATCTCCAATTTTAAACAAAGCTTGAACAAGTACCTATTGTAAAAGTATTCTGAAATAAAGCGCCCAGTTGGGTGATGGGTGGTATTTCTGTAACGTCACAGCGGATAAAAACTGTAGCCCCTTTCGTGTCTACATGCAAACTAACGGACCGACCGACAGACAGGACTGCCAGCAATATACGTCCACATTTCTATGTGTGCATTTACAAAAATGGGCGATGGTTGTTGTTCCCATAAACAGACGACAGTGGACCATCCTCAAGAATATAACCCAGAGTTACATGATGTCTGGTATTTCTGTAAAAAGACAATGGTACAACAGTGGACCATCCTCTAGAATATAACCCAGAGATAGATGATGTATGGTGTTTCTATAAACAGGC